GTCTGAAAATTGTGCTGCGGCCTATACACGCACGCGGCCTATACATGCGTAAATACGGTACTTAGTTTTCTCTGTGTTTACTTCTAGACCAATCTCTTTACTTGCGTCAGTTAAAGTCTGTGTGTTCGTAAGAAAGTTTAGTGTTGAGCTGTGGAGTGCTAACCAGCGGACACCGGAAGCTGAAGAAGTGACCGATTCGTAAATCAGAACAAAGTCAATCACGGCAGAAGATGGAATGAGCAAGTCTTAGAGTGTCACTGATTGTGAGCTGCTATAATCGATTGTAGTCGTAAAGAAGTGTCAATAGATAGATAGGTATGATATTTCTTAGCCTTTGCAGACAAATTCAGGCACAGGAACTCAAATTAGGTTATTCTCGATTGCTTCCAAGTATTTCCTTTTTCATTTTGCATCGATTATCACATCGTTCTGCGCTGTGTGTTTAATCTTAGCAACTGTATGCATCATTACAAAAGCTAAGGAAGAGTTTTTAATGCTAGTGGGGTGGGACTAAGTCCCTTGTACCGCGGCCACTTCTGGCCTATTGTACCAGCCCCAGATGATAGGTGAGGGTGATTGTGGAGCAATTGGTGGAATGAAGATTGGCAGGGGAAACCGAAGGACTCGGAGCAAACCTGCCACAGCGCCACTTTGTCCACCATAAATTACACTTGACCAGACCCGGGATCGAACCCGGGCCGCCGCGATGGGAAGCCAGCGACTAACCGCTTGAGCTATGGCGCGGCCTTAAGGAAGAGTTAAGTGCAGTTTATTTCAAGAAAGGAAACGATCAAGAAAGTTATATACTCTTTCTCTACCTATTTATGCTGAATAAAATAATCTTACGTAATAGAACACACAATAGCGATATATTTTTCTGTAACCTAGACAGTAGTGCGCCGATCACAGTGGACGGACTGTGCAAACAATGAACTGTCTTCGTCCGCCCAAACGCCAGGATCGTGGATTCAAATCCCACTAAAGGCATGAATGTCTGTGTGTATTTATTATGTGTTTGTGTTATTCTGCGTGTAGCTAGTAACCTTGCGAAACACTGATCCTCCGTCCAAGGAGTCCTACCGAATGTGTAGGGTTAAGAAACTGAAAAAGGGATCAAGGTCCAGAAAAAGGACTGCAGAGCCACAGACAGACAGACAGGCAGGCAGGGAGGCAGATAGATAGATAGATAGATAGATAGACAGATAGACAGATAGATAGACAGATAGACAGACAGGCAGACAGACAGACAAATAGATAGATAGATAGATAGATAGATAGATAGGTAGGTAGATAGATAGATAGATAGATAGATAGATAGATAGATAGATAGAGAGCAGTGTATGCCATCACACGTGTCATTGATTTGTTAAGGTAATTGGCTTGTATTTTCACGTCGTAAGCAACATAAACAACGTGTGAATCTTTCCTGTCTCAAGTAGAACAAGTGACGTCCCGACTCGAGTTTCAAATCACACAAGAACTTGTGAAGAAACTTCATTTTTGCAGTTATCTTTCAGAAACCCATGTATGTTGGAGGACATTTGAAAGCCCTGTCAGGATCGGATTTATAGTTGTGAGGGGCCCCGTGGAAATTAGAATGTGGAAACCCCTATCATTAAAAACATATTTACGTTATTACATGTGTTTTCGTTTTCATTTCTTGCAATAACCAAAACACAACCTGACTTTTCATACGTTTAGATATGCAAATGTCCCAGTAAAATAAACGGCTTCTACTTATGTTTTGTGAAAGCCTCGGGGCAAAGACCCTTGTCGCTCCCCCTTAAATCCGTCCCTCGGTGTTGTGTCACTGCGTTATGTCCATCCCATTATCCTATCTCTGTAGAGCAATAAGTTTTCGTGGAGAGAACGAAAAAGAAGAAAGCCTACAGAAATGTTATGTTTTAAATTTTTCTTCTTCTAAATCATTAATAGGAACCATACAGGGAAGGAAAAGCTGTCAGAATTTAAACTACACTAGGGCAACATTGTGGAGCAATACCCTCAGTTTCGTGGCTGTATAAACTGTAAATAATTTTAAAAATTTCATGAATTGAAAGGGTTTGAATGAACGGATGTTACTGCAGTGAAATGTTATGACTAAACCGAATATTCAGTCCATCAGAATCATGGTTAATCGCATATCAACCATCAAAACGTTATATGACTTTAGCCTACTTCTCAGTGTTTTGTCGCAAACGTCGATAATGTATATTGTAAAAGTTGCAAACATGGATGCCGTCCACCACAATCCAGTGTAAATATAGCGGTTCCGAGAGCAACTAGATGGCGCTTATAGGGTCTTCCCGCCCATTAAAGAGATTTATCTCTTTATGATTGTCATCTGGTTTGGCCATCCGAAGATAACCTCGAAGGCCGAAGTTTCCACAGCGAGATAAAGTGAAGACCAATGTTTTCAAGAGGTTCCGTACAGAATTTCGTGCAGCAGGAATTTAAGAGTCGTCGCATTGAATGGTATGGGTGTTGTAGTAACGTGCTACATTCTAACAGAGATTTAAGGGTTCGTTGGCTCCGTCTGCTTGCACGCAGCAAGTCCCAGCGCGAACAAAATGAATGACTCCGTTTTCGCATTTTCATTTGAGCGTCAGATGGTGATGAGTGTGATTGCATACTCAAGCGATGATCGCGTTGGGGCAGAATAGAACTCGCCAACAGAATACTCAACAGGAGCGTCAATGTTCCTGACGAATATGTAATTGTTGCCACAATTCTACTGCAAGACGGAGCGCTGATCTTTAATACGAAAACATTTAGCACATCGAGAAATTGCCGTAGAGCCTGGTCTGTCAAATTGAAGCACTTTCTTTTCCTCTTCTTTGAAAGTAGGGATCTATAAATGTCTAAAATTGCGAACTTGAGGTTCTCACAACGGTGGTTAAGTGTTCTATATTCGGGGTTATAATGCAGAATAGTCCGACAAAAGACAACCGATGTTTTGGAGGAATAAGCCAAGCTTGAAAGCAGGAGGCAAGCAGAGGCCTCTGTCTCTTGACTTTCAACGGACTAAGGAGCACTGAATTCCAGACGATATAGGTCTGCGTCTGGAATTAGGTTCTTAAATACTCGTAATTTCAATACTACAATACTTTACCTCAAAATCCGAAACGCAGTGAAGATACAATCATTTTGTTGTTTGCATTTCTTGTGCAATCAATTCTAACTACGTAGGCTTAGACTGTAAGTTACTTGGACATACTACATTACATTTTAATTCTTAGTTCAAGGTAAGAATCGCGTTGTAAGACTCATTAGTTATCATTGTTTATTTCACGGGAACCAAGGGCATAACCTGACTCTGACGTATGCATATTGTGGAACACATTAAAGCTTTGCCGAATTTAATATATGAACTAAGCAAAAGGGGCTGGTCAAGCTAGCCGAGCGGTCTAAGACATGTACAGTTTTCGCTCACTCGAAAGCCGGGAACATGGGTTCGAATGCCACTCAGGGCATGAACGTTAAGTGCTTGTGTGTGTGCGTTTTTCTGTGTTTGTGTACACATAGAGGCCTTGCGACGAGCTAATCACCCGCCCAAGGAGTCCTACCGAATGTTTAAGATGTAGTAAACCGAAGTGAAATAAAGAGTTTCATGGAGGTAGGCCAAGGCCCAAATTGGGGTTGTAACACCAAAGAAAGAAAAAAAAACAAACAGGGATTCTTCTCCTTGCCTTACGTTAAGGACGATGTTAGCCAACGTGAATACGTAACCAGGAAGTAATTTCCATACAGCATTCATTAGAATAAAAGAATTTAATTTCAGGTTGTAACGATTTAGCTTGTTTGGCAGCAACATTTTACAGACTGATAAGAAATGGAGACACGAAACTTGATGGACGTAAAGTGTAATTTCCTGCTCGTTGCTGAGAATTTATCTCAGTTTTAAAGACCTGCAGAGAAAATTGGAGAGGAAAAGTGACTTATAACACTTGATACCAGAGTTCATGTCATCAGATTTTAAAATGAGAATTCTATTCTTCCTATCTTGCACCTCCATCGACCCGGTTTGCTACTGAACTATCTCAATGTTGTCACTCTCATTCCCCGCACAGTTTCATTTTCATTAAATTTCCTGGACGTCGTGGTTCATTACTCTGATAAGCGAAGTAGGGTGGGACGCTACGGATAATGAACATTCTGGTGAAAATACGAGAAGAGGGAACGGAGCTCAAGGATAGGAAACGTGAGAACTATTAATGTGTAAAATCGCTTGTCTCACTTCCTATTCTAAAACGTTTTTGTAGTCTTTAACCCTACTTTCCGAGGGTTCATTAGCCCAACACTAACTTCATAGATTGTGTATTAAATAACCTGTTGCAAGTATGACTTCCTCTGTTCTGATTATCTTGACAGATTCGGGCGGCGCCATAGCTCAAGCTGTTGTTAGTCGCTGACTTCTCACCGTGGCGGTCCGGGTTAGATCCCGGGTCTGGTCAAGTGGGATTTCTGGAGGACAAAGTGGCGCTGGGGCGGGTTTTCTCCGAGTACTTCGGTTTCCCCTTCCAATCTTCATTCCACCAAATTCTCCATCATCATAATCACCCGGGGCAGGTTACAATAGGCCAATCAGTGGCCACCGTGACGAGCGGACCCAGATAGACTACACGCCCCCCCTAAGCGAATCTTGACAGATTTTAGAGTAAAATCTACAATCGTAAGCCAATATTGTATCGCTAAACTAAAAAAAAAACATACACAAAAGCAGCCACCTGCTCACGTTGGTTCCTCGCTCGCTGATTTCTTATGCCCTGAAGTTGGAGGCGATATTTTCCTCCGAAACGTCGGTTTATACATCTACACGGCGCCACATCCCAGAAGACGGTATTCTTCATAAATTTTCGGAGATTGGATTCTGTCTCCGTCTTCAGGTGGAACCTACTCAGTTGGGCCCAATCGATAGAGCTGATCCCTATCTCCGAACTGAGGATGAACAATGTGGAAGTCTCGATTAGAATACTACAAGATGGCGTAGTGGTTCTTACCTGAGTGAGATGCCACCGCTTGGACGCCTTGGCAATGGGATCTGTCACTTGTGTACAGGCGGCTCCAAACAGCATCACCTTGTGGGGGCCGATGTGCATCATGTCGAAGAAGGCCTTCACACCCACAGCAGCATTACACTGCAACAGAAACAGAGACGTGGTTAAGCTTCCTTGCTTGGCTCACTCCTGAAACCTGAGGGCGACATATTCCTCAGGACCGCAGGATGACTTCCAGCGAAGTACATGACTTCACATCACAGAAGGTAGAACTCTTCGCTTATTTACTTACTTACTTGGCCGCGAAACAGCTCAAGCGGTTAGTCGCTGGTTTCCCACCGCGGCGGCCAGAGTTCGATCCCGGGTCTGGTCAAGTGAGATTTCTGGTGAACAAATTGAGCCTGGGGCAGGTTTTCTCCGGTACTTCGGTTTCTCCTGCCAATCTTCATTCCACCAATTGCTCCACAATCACCCTCACCTAACATCTGGGGCTGGTACAACAGGCCAGAAGTGGCCGCAGTACAAGGGACTTAGTCTCACCCCACTAGCAAAAAAAAAAAATACTTAATCCGTTCCTCTTGTACCTTACGTGTCGAGGTTCTTTTTTTCATTTTGATCATTTTACTGACGGTAGGACTCCTTGGACGGGCGATGAGCTCGTCGCAAGCCCTCTACCTAAATACAGGACAACACAAACACAAAATAAACACGTACACATACCAAACATTCATGCCTCCTTTGGGATTCGAACCCACGATCCCGGCTTCCGAGCGAGCAGACGACATTAGTGCTTTAGAGAATACTGTCTTCTGGGCTATAGCGCTGTGTAGTCCGTTGGAAGCCAACCGACGTTTCGGAGGAACATGTCACCTCCATCTTCAGGATGGTGATATGTTCCTCCGTTGGAAGCCAACCGACATTTCGGAGGACCATGTCACCTCCATCTTCAGGTTGGTGATATGTTCCTCCGTTAGAAGCCAACCGACATTTCGGAGGAACATGTCACCTCCATCTTCAGGTTGGTGATATGTTCCTCCGTTGGACGCCAACCAACATTTCGGAGGAACATGTCACCTCCATCTTCAGGTTGGTGATATGTTCCTCCGAAACGTCGGTTGGCTTCCAACGGACTACACGGCGTTATAGCCCAGAAGACACTACTCTTAAAGCAGAGAAATTCCCAATACCACTTCAATCATTACACCATTTTTATGTACCCAATGACGTTCTGAAGCCCAGCTTGCATCCCAAGTTTGGAATTCAGGTTTCTGCGTTACTATTATAGTACAGTGGAACTTTTCCTTCCCAAACTTTTGTCAGCACTATTCACTGGTTTCAAGAAGCGGTTCCCATCATATTTGCACCACGGGTCGCTTATTGCCTGGATTTCCTTTGATGGTCAATCGGAATAGTAAAAGAAATATCTTATAAAATTTGAAGAGAGCGTTAGCGAAGTTCAGCCAGCACTTACACACCCACGATTTTTAAATTAAAACAGTCCAATAAAAAGATTTTGCCACACCAATCACAAATTTATTTCTATATAACAATGTTTTTGTGAAGTAGGCTAAAAATAGAGTTAACTCGTACCTGTTCAATAAGATAGAATGAAGTCACTTTCACCTCGATGATGGATGCGTACAATTTCAAATTTTTTCACGGACCACTAGCGGTCCGTGGACCGTAAGTTTGTGAAACTGTGGTATGAAGTAATCGAGCGTAGTCAATAGAGATTTTAGAATCAATTGTCTGCTTCAGCTGGTTGCAGTTATCATATTTATCCTCTCGGAGGAATTCGTTAGGAAGCTATTGGGAGCGGCCACAATTAATTCCTTGCTTTGTATACAAAACTAAAGCTTGTTGTAACATAAAACAAAACTCCATGAAAGTATGTCTAACGGCTGGTAGTCCAGTAAGGATATTTAAAGATGTTTTATTACCTGATAAATGTATTTATCTAAGAAGCGAGATTTTGCAAGAATTGTAAGGAGAACTGGAGATCAATTCAAAAATCCTAATCCGGTACCACCAAAAAACTTTTGTGCTGAATCAGTTTGTTCTGTCACTGTAAGAAACAGCCATCTTTCTATGCCCTACAAGTAAAATGTTACTGGAGCCGAGATAGCTCGGTCGATATAGCGAGAGTTTATGTGCTTCGCAGTTGGGGTTCTTTCCTGGAAGGGGTAAGAGATTTTTCTCTCTCCACAGGGTTCAGATTGTCTCTGGAACCAAACATAGACTACAATGTGTACCGCTAACTCTATCCAAAGAGTTAAAGCGGCCGGGGAGTAAAGCTGGCCATCCACCTCAATCTATTGCTGAAGTCAAGAATGGTGGGATTATAACCCCTTCCAGTCCACACGTCTTTATGGCGCGGTATTTAATTAATTGTATGCCCAGAGACAACTTATTCTTTTGCTTTACTTACCTAGTGTTGCTAGCTTCAACAAACCTCATTAATGGTATTACATCACGAGAAAAGCACAGCAGCTGTAGTGAGTAGGAGCTATCATGGTTATTAAAATCACGGTGATAAGTGAAGTGTTATATAATAAATAAATTATACTCGTACATCTGAAACTAATTACTATAACTGGGGTGAAGCTAGTACTTACGTATATTAATCTCCTATACATGCAGCGTTTCATATACTCAGCAGAGCTCTGAACACTGAAAGTGTCTAAAGGATAGGGCGCACTATTTTTTTTATTGCTAGTGGGGTGGGACTAAGTCCCTTGTACTGCGGCCACGCCTGGCATATTGTACCAGCCCCAGATGATGGGGGGGTGATTGTGAAGCAATTATTCGAATGATGATTGGCAGGGGAAACCGAAGTACTCGGAGAAAACCCACCCCAGCGCCACTTTGTCCACCACAAATCCCATTTGACCAGACTCGGGATCGAATCCGGGCTTCAGCGGTGGGAAGCCAGCGACTAACCGCTTGAGCTATGGCACAGCCTATAGGCCGCACTACGTGTCGGAATCTCTGTTTCCACAAAGAAAAGAGTATTAACAATTGTACTAAAATTCTGTTTAAATAATTTAAATAGAAACAAAACTTAGAAATTAGCATACGCGGCTTGAATTTAATAGATAACCGAACTGAATCTCGTCAAGGCGTTGTTACCTTAAATCGGAATTTTAGCGGGATTCCTTTTGCCTGCTCTGTCCAGGCATCATGCAGTCGTCACACGCCATTACTAACCCAACATTTACTTGACGAATAATTACAAGAGAAACATATAACAGAAGGAGCCGGGATAGCCTAGTCGGTATAGCGACTGGCTACGGGCTGGACGACCGAGAAGTTGAAGTTCGAGTCCCGGTAGGATCATGAATTTTCTTTTCTCCACGTCTTCTAGACAGGCTCTGAGGGCCACCCAGTCTCCTATCCAATATTTACAGGAGCTTTTCCCCAGGAGTAAAGCAGCTGGGGCGTGAAACTGATCACTCACATCCAACTAGTCACGGGTTCAAGAAATTATAGGTTTATACATCCACTCCCCCATGCGCCTTCAGGGCGTGTTACTTAATCAGTTGAGCACAGGGACAATTTTAGCTTTACATATAACATATATTGTTTAAAACGCTAGAAGCAAAGTATATGGGTCGATATTCTTAAGGTTTGGGGAACGTTAGAAAATGTAATAAAAGGCAGATAATCAGTGTCTTAACATTGTGTCCACGCGCTTCATAATAAGAGTAATAAGAGAGAAGGTTAGATAGGCACTTGCGCAACTGGCTTGTATTCCAGAAGTATCTGGTTTAAATTCTAACGTTACTGATATTTTCCTGGTTTTCCATCATTCATTCAAGGCCAGTGATGGAATAGTATTTCGAAACAAGCCATAATCACTTTCTCCTATGTAATTTTCAGTCTAATACACAGAAATCATATTTTAAACTAATTTTCCGCCAAATAACCTACAAACCAACCAAGTGGATCACTGGACCATAGGGAGCTAATACTATTTTTGCGTAGTGATGTGAATGCGTTATCACTGCAGAATAAATGAAGCATGTTGTTGCTGCTTTTGTTGTACCTGACACATGGGACCAACCTGACTGATGTAAAACAAAATCAATATTATACATGCGCATGACCTTTCTTTCTCTCTGGGCATTACTGTACGCGTTCTGTGAAATATTATGCATTGTATCTAATGCATCAATTTATACGAGCAACAGAATATTCAGTAAAAATATCTGCATCGTTTAACGGCTCTTAACAACTGCTACGTCTAGGAAGCAACAGACCGTGCAACACGATTGTCGGGCAGACTTTCGGACTGGAGGTCCCGAAGCAAATAGTCGGAACTTCTATCTTTTTTTTTCCTCGGCTCTACAGCCCCAGTGGGCCTAGGCCTACCTCCATGAACTTCTCCATTCACTTCGTTTTTTCTAGATCTTACACATTCGGTAGGACTCCTTGGGCGGGTGATCAGCTCGTCGCAAGGCCTCCACCTGTGCACAAACACAGAAAAACGCACACGAACATCCATGCCCTGAGTGGGATTCGAACCCACGATCCCGGCTTCCGAGCGAGCGAAGACAGTGCATGCCTTAAACCGCTCGGCTACCGCGACCGGCCGCAACTTCTATTAGACTATGTAAAATAAGGGACTGGACATTGCGGAGGTGTCGACCTCATGCGAAATGGTAGGAGAGACAACTAACAAACACTTACGAGCCATGGATGTAGGAGCATTGACCACTCTCGAGTCTGTTGCTCTCACCGATTGGAAAAGAAGGTTGATTGTACCATTTGACTGGCTGGCTCTCTATGTGGGAACAGCTAGGGACGAACGGCATTAAGGAGGGAGTAGCGGGGGCAGCTGTATAGCACTCACTGGGAAAACCGAGCCACGATGAAGAAGGTGAGACCAAGTACAGACGTCTCAAAGACAGCCCTCGGAAAAAAAAATGGTGCTGCGTTTGTAGGCTCTTCGGAACGAATAGCCTTAAAGAGGGAGCAATTAGCATGCAGAACCGTATCTGGACAGCGGCTTCGTAAACAAGTTCCCAGAGCAACGGATATGCATGCAATAATAGAGGTATGCTTGGAAACTGTTTTCACTCAGTCCGTGAAAAGGAGCTGTATAAGCACACTAGTGTGTGTGTGTGTGTGTGTGTGTGTGT